TAATCTTTTTTGTGAACTTTTATAAAATTATATGATCCCTCTGGATGTCAATAAGTCTCTGTTATACTAAATTTGTTTTAACTAGGCTTGTCTGTATTTTTAATGTTTGAGTAATTAAAATGCTTGAAAGGCACTCTGGTAGCTTAGGTTACTTTCTTTATGGTTCTGTTTCCTCATCAGGAAAATGAAACTATTACTCATCTGTTGGGTGACGTTCTTTCTTGCTGAGAGAGAAGGACGGCTTGGCCGCAGGTGCAAGCTCGCTCCTAGAATTGTTTGAAAGCAAGAAACAACTACACACTCTTAGGTGGCATGTAGCAAAATGTCTTCATTTTCCACTCCCTTTTATTGGGAGCTAGTCACGTACACCACATTGATCGATAATCCTAACATCCTCATTTCTTATCGTAAACTATAGAAAAGAAAGAAAGTCCGGGAAAGTAAGACAACCATCTTAAGCTAGCCTCAGGCTGTTCCTCTCTGAAGACCTAAAAGAACTATACATTATCTGACTTCTATTGTTAAAGTTAAAGGTCAGGATAAACAGGGGAGTAAAACCTTTCTCTTCTATGTACTCAATTATATTTCTGAGAAACAGGCTCCATGACTATTTTCTTATGGTTTGGAGACCCTGCAGTTATGATGGAGCGTTTTACTCAACATCATTACCATGGAGTTTTTCTTTTCACTCCCATCAACCTTTGAGTCATGTCCTCTGCACAGATGGGCCGTTTCAACCCTTATCTGACAGGCCGACTTGACTGCACAGTCGGGGTTCCCTGTAAGAGGTTTTTAAGCCTGGCCTGTAGGCCCCCACTTTGTTTTCCCAGGTCGCTTAAGGCCTCTACAAAAGCGCATAATACTCGCAAGTCTTTTCACTCAGTTTCTGGTATTAAAAGAGCACATTTCATTTAATTTTTGTGGGGGTTTACCCCACACTCATCTTCTGGGAGGGCAGAGGTGAGAATTAAGTGAGATGATACATGTAACACCTTTGGGCTTAGCAGTGCCTAACAGTGGGTTTATGAAATTATTACATGTAAGTGCTTGTGAATTATTTCTATTACAATTTAAATTCTCTGCTGGAACACATTAGAAATCATGGGAAAATAAAAGCTTTTGTTCTGTGTTAATAACCAGGAAGGTACCTACATCTAGATTTTAGTATTTAGAGATTCCCTTCCGTTTCAGGAAGACAAGATTGTCTGGGGAGAAGGAGACTAAGCTATCCCACAGCAAAACTGGATCCTGCATAAGGCAAATGTTAATGCGCTGTTGAGCTAGCATGAAGAAGGTGCAGGTAGTGGGCAGGGGTTGGCATGGGAAATAAGGAAACGTTTGAGCAGAAATTAAGACATTGAATGATAAGAAGGTGATTGTGACCAAAAGACAGGTTCCCACATTGGCACTGCATGCGAAAACTGGTCCTTGACTTGTTTCAAGTTGGCAAATTGAAACTGAGGCTCCAGGCTTAATCTAAGGATCCCAAGAAGTAGAAACATAAACTTCTGGAGGGAAGTAACCTCAATTGAGTATCACAGATTTTCAGAGACTGAGATCAACAGGATATGAATTTCAACCAAAGTTTTCCAATGCACAAGAAAACAAACTACAGTGAATGAGTCAGCATAAACAATAACAAATCTAAATCCCAGGATTCTCAGCTGTTACAAGGACCTTATACAAAGTATATAATAACTTAATGAGCACTTACACAAGAGACTCTCAAAAATTAACAAGCTCTTTGGGTGGTGCCTGTGGCTCAAAGGAGTAGGGCGTGGGTCCCATATGCCAGAGGTGGCAGGTTCAAACCCAGCTCCAGCCAAAAACTGCAAAAAAAAAAAAAAAAAAAAATTAACAAGCTCTTTTGAAAAATCAGATGGAATTCATAGGAATTAAAAAATATAAAATTATGATATAAGAAAACCTCAATGTGTGAGCAAATGAAATACTGCTGAAGAAAGACTTAGTGAACTGGATACAGATGTGAAGCAGTTTATATGGATCTATACCAAAGTATAAAACAGAATAACTGATACAGAGAAAATAAGGAGAGCTTAAGGAATATTGAAGATAAAAGTAAAAGATCTAGCATACATCTAAACAGAGCCTCAGAAGAAGAGAACAATAATAATAAAGACAATATTTGAAGAGTTAATGGTTGAAAAATTTTAAGAATTTATGAAAGACACGAGTCCTCAGACACATTGAGCACATCTTATACCAAGTAGGGTAAATACAAAGAAATCTACCTCTGGATAAAACGAGGTGAAATTGAAGAGACTTAAAAACAAAGGTATTTTTTTCCCAGGACTTCAAATAAACATAATTTATTAATTTTACACTTGGGTATTTCACACATATGTAGGAAATATGAAAGCTATTTAGAGTACCTTCATAATTTGGTGTTGAATGTTACAAATTTTATTTTAAAATAGCTCAACAAAACTCATCTCGCATTTTAATATTTTAAAATAAAATCCATTATATCAAAATTTTGAGTGATCAGAAAGTTGTAAAAACCATGATTCAAGCCAATCATTTTATGCTTAGAGATTTGGTGGGTGAACATGATTTCATTTGTCTGTGAAGAATTTACTGGGGTCCCTTCTGGTTTTTTCAAGGCTTTCAAAAGTGATCATTCCTCTTGGCAGCTGCAACTTATTCTTTTCTGTTTCTAGTAAGTCCTCAGCTTCACTTTTCATTCTTTCTAGAAGGTTCCATGGCCCAAGTCATACTGGTAGGTGAAAATAAAGGTTTATGGAACAATAGGGAAGAGGAAGGCTGGCTTTTTACTTTTTATTGCTCTAGCTGTTAAAAAGTTGGCTGTAATGCCAAAAAAGTTCCAAAATATTTGAGGAATTCTGGAGACCAAGCAATCTGCATGTCCGTCCGTCTGTCCTCATTTCATTCTCCATCATTAGTTGTCTTTCCAGCTGAAGTCGAGCATTCATAAGCATGAACTCTTCTTGATTTTTCATGTTTTCACTCATAGATTTTGAAACTATAAACCCCATCTTGACCTTTTTCTGGGACTTGCCCTCTTCAGTCTGGACTTTTACTTTGGGTGTGTTAGAGGAAACTCCCAGAAAGATAGGTCAAAGGTAGAAACTAAGCAGGAAGAAGAGTTTCCCTCTGGGAAACCACACTGGCAGTGGGTGGCAACGGTGCTGTCACAGAGAATCGCCGCAGAGGCCTCCAGACGCCGGTTCAAAGACAAAGGGATTATAGTCCCAGAGAACTACCGTAAGATCAATCATAGACTTCTCTACGGTAATCAAGGAGCCCAAAAGATAAGGAGGCATAGCTCTCAAGTGCTAAGAAAGACTAATTATACAGTTAAAATGGTAAACTCAGCAATATCATCTTTCAAGTCCAAAGTCAAAAGAAACAATATTTTCAGATAAATAAAAACTGAAATGGTTCACCACCTATACTTGAGGAATGTTCTAAAAAATGCTTCGGAAGAAGGAAATGAATCTGGAAAGAAAGTCTAGAAAAAGAACAAGCAAAGAAAGTGATGGGTATGTAAGTAAATCTAACAGAGACGTAATAAAATGGATAATGATGATGTCTAATTTGTGGTGGTTTAATAACAAGAAACAAGCTAAAATAAAAGAAAATAACATATATGCATAAGTTAGGAGATGGATGGTGAGAGTTAATGTTCTAGGATTCTGTCAGTTGAAGGTTTCAGATATTCTTTGTAGGTTTTGTTAAATATGTGTGGTAAAATGGTAAGTGTAGCCAGAAAGAATGGAATAGATGTATAATTTCACACCAGGTAGACGGTAAAATCATATAGGAGAGAACTCAAGAGAGGTCGTGTCATCAAATAAATAAAATCAACCAGACTTGTAATCATGAGATCTTTGCAGAATATTCCAATATTAAAATTGAGTTGGGGAGGGAATGATGCTGGCAGGAAGGAGGAGGAGGAGGGATCAAAGATGCTAGGGATTTGGGGTGGTGGAAGAGAAAGACAGGAAAGCTTTTACAGTAGAGATACAGAAAGGTGAAGGAGCCAGGTCAGCCCCAGTGATGGGGCAGAGGCAGGAGGCAGAGCCATCCCAGCTGACTGAGGCTGAGGGGCAAGTGGGATGCCCATACTGCTGTCCATCCAATCAGGTGTGTGTTCTGTGTCTCCCAGAATTCTGCATCCTGGCCCCAGCCTGGCTTGGCCAGAGCAGCTAAAGCAGTGATTCTCAACCTTCCTAATGCTGCAACCCTTTAATACAGTTCCTCGTGTTGTGGTGACCCCCAACCATAACATTATTTTTGTTGCCACTTCATAACAGTAATTTTGCTACTGTTATGAATCATAATGTAAATATCTGATATGCAGCATGGTCTTAGGTGACCCAAAGGGGTCACAATCCACAGATTGAGAACCGCTGAGCTAAAGGGAAGGAGGCAGGAAGAGATGATGGGAGAAATATGGGACATCGCCCCAGGCAGCACCCAGGACAGCTACCCTGCCTCAACCTGCTTATCCTGGAAAGGAAGCTGAGACAGAAGCCAGAAGGCATCTGGCTGCTGGCACAGGCCTTCAAGGAAAGACCCAGACACAGAGAGTTGGAAATTGGAGAGTAACAGTGTACAAGATGGGCCCCAGAAACATAGGGAAATATGCCCCAGCACAAGTACCTCTGTGGTTAAACCACTGCCTCTTTGCCTCCCCATACAAATGTTAGGGAACCACTTCTGGGCACTGCATGCCCAAGAGTTCCCTTCAGCCACTTAAAAGTGTTAACTTTAATTAAACAGGAAACTACATAAACCAGGACAGGGTTAGAGGGATATAGATTCAAAGGGACCTAATGTTTGCTATTAATAACAGCTAGCACACATGCACCGCTTCCTCCACCACAGGCACTCCTCCAAGTGCTGACAGCAATGATCTTATTTAATCTTCTTGTGCCCAAGATCCCACGGCCAATTAGAGGCAGAGCTGGTTGACAACCAGACAACTGGTTGCAGGGTCTTCATTCTCTAATACTATGCTGCTTTCTGAATGGTCAGAGGATAATTTGCCTGAGCAGATTGAATTCAAGGTTGGTACTACACATGGAATGTATGTGTTCCCCTAAAATTCAAATGTTGAAGTCTGATCCCTGGTATGATGGGGTTTGAGGTGAGGACTTTGGTAGATAACTAGGTCATGAGTGTGGCCCCCTCACGAGTGAGACGAGTGATCTTCTAAGAAGAGACACAGAGAGAGAATCTGTCTCCACTATGTGAAGACAGCAAAGCAGAAAAGGGGGACATCACATTCCCAGATGCTTCAGAGTCAGCCTGACCAGCCTGATACCTCGATTTCAGGCTGTTAGCAACAACCAAACCACAATTACAGACTTCTGGTCACCTGCACTATGTTGGTGACCACCTGGTCCATGGGATTTGTTAAGACAAATCCACCTGGTCCATGGGAGCCTGAGTTAAGACAGTTGGGAAATGAGGGGTTGTCTTCAGATATCCGAATGGCTTTCTGTAGAAGAAAGGTAAATTTTATTCTTTAAGGACTGAAGAGATTAGAACTAGGAAAGTGATTTTTTTTTCAGCCTATTTTGTAATAGACAGAGTTCCCCATAGAGGAAAGGTGCTTTTGCAGAGGGTGCTAAGTTCTTGGTCACTAGAAATTAGATGCACTTGGTGTTAGGAATCTGGAGAGAATTGAAGCACTGAGTGTGTGTTGAATGACACGCTCTAGAAAGTCTCTCCCAGCTCTTAAGTTTTTAGAACCATGGGGGTCAGGGATAAGAAGTCAGAGCTCAGCTGGATGTGGAGAATTCTTACCTTACATAATAGCTGCACTCTGCACTTACTTTGCTTCAGCCAGAATTTGCATTTGTATATTTTAAGACTCTACACACCTGGACACCTGACCTTCAGAGGTCAGCTTAGGCATCACTTCCTGCAGGATGTGTCCCTCCCTCAACTCTAACACCAGCGTAGGTGCCCCCATCGCCGCCCCCCCCCCTTTCCCCAACCTTTCCGCTCCTCATACTACAGTGAAGTGTCTGTTTTCTCAACCTGTATTAATTTGCCAGGGCTGCTGCAGCAAGTTACCACAAAAAACAGGAACGTATTTTCTCCTGGTTCTCAGGTCTAACAGCCTGAAATTGAGGCATCAGGCGGGTCAGGCTGACTCTGAAGCATCTGGGAAAAATTCTTCCTCTCCTCTTCCTGGCTTCTGATGGTGGCTGGCAAGATTTGGAGTTTCTTGTTTTGAGGTTATATCATTCAAATTTCTGCCTTTATCTTCACGTGACCCTCTCCCCTCTGTGTCATTGTCCTTTTTTTTTTTTTTTTTTTTTTTTTTTTTCATACTGCTTTAACTCAGTGAGTAGGGCTTAAAATATTTTTTCCATTTTTTTGTTTGTTTTTTTGAGACAGAGTTTTACTATGTAGCCCTCAGTAGAGTGCTATGGGATCACAGCTCACAGCAACCTCAAACTCCTGGGCTTAAGTGATTCTCTTGCCTCAGCCTCTCAAGTAGTTGGGACTACAGGTACCCTCCACAATATCCAGCTATTTTTTGTTGCATTTTTCATTGTTGTTTAGCTGGTCCAGGCTGAGTTTGAACCTGCCAGCCTCAGGGAATGTGGCTGGCGCTGTAACCACTGTGCTACTGGAGCCAAGCCCCTCCCCCCTCTTATAAGAATGTCAGTAATATGGTGTTCAGGACTCACTTTAATTCAGTGAGTGACCTCATCTTAATGTAAGTAACCACATCTTTGATAATCTTATTTCCAAGTAATATTATATTTCAAGGTACCACGGATTAGAACTTCAATATATCTTGTGGGTAGACATAATTCAATCTTATTTCCAAGTAAGATTATATTCCAAGGTACCATGGATTAGAACTTCAATATATCTTTTGGGTAGACATAATTCAATTTAGTAATTTAAATCATTAAATGACAAGCATCTATCCAGTGCTTGTCATTATTCACAGGAATCTGACCTCCCACATGCCCCAACCTCCCATACTCACTAGACTGTGGGTTCTTTGAACATTGTACCTTAATTCCACATAGTTTATTAAGTCTATTATGAACTATGCTCTGTTCTGGGCACTGAGGACAACTGACACTCAAGGTCCTTACCCTTGATAGAATATCTATTCCACATGGAAGCAGATCGTAAAAAGTGGCCATTCAGTGTGGAAGCCACATGCTAAGAGTGTGTGTGTGTCTGGATACACACACACATGTGCAAGAGTTCACCCTTATCCAGTTTTGCTTTCTGAGGTTTCAGTTAGTCATGGCTAAGGTCCAAATATATTACATGGAAAATTCCAGAAATAAAAATTTCTAAGATTTAAATGGCACTCTATTCTGTTCTGAGCAGCATGATGAAATCTTCCTCAGTCCCAGCTCTATACTGCCCAGGACATAAATCCTTCGTCTCAGAGATCCACACTTTCTGCCACCTGCCTGTTACTCACTGAACAGCCATCCTGGTTACTAGATCCACAGGATCACAGTGCATCTGTTCATGTCACACTGACGTGACTGCACAACAGCCTGGAAGTGCAAGGCTATGATGGTTGCAATTAAAATATGCAAAAAAAAATAATAACAAAACTGTGAACTATTTCCTTGAAGTGAAAAGGTCAAAGTGTTTTACTTAATAAGGAAAGGGGGAAAAAAATCATACATTGAGCTCGGTAATATCTACAGTAAGAACAAATCTTATATCTATGAAATTGTGAAGAAGGAAAATATTCATGCCGGTTTTGCTGTCCTATCTCAAATTACAAAAGTTACAACCACAGTGCCTGGTAAGTGCTTAGAGAAGATAGAAAAGGCATTAAACTTGTGGCAAAAGACATATACAGAGACATGTTCTATTGATGGTGATCAAGTCTGGGACTCTCTGGAGTTTCAGGCATCCCCTGGAGATCTGGGAACAAGTCCCCAAGAATAGGGGTGGTGACTGTACGTGCATATACAGTCACTTAATATATATTTGATGAAGGGATATTAGCTGGAACAGTAAAAAAAAAAA